CAGATATCAAAACCCATGGATGTTCAAGGCCCTACAAGTGGCTTGACACTTACATATAACCTACATACATACATAAATCACCTCCCCGTTTCCTTTGACACAATGTAAACGCTATGTGATTAGGTGTTCTGGTGTGATACCTATGGAATAATAAAAAAATGTCTGCACATGCTCATTGTAGACATTTCCAAATATTTTCCATGTGTGGTTGGCTGAACCCATGGATTCTGGAAACAAAGACACAGTCTGCATTAATGCAATTTAATCAAGACAACAACAATAAAATGACAGGCTCCTTATTGCCATTCTTCGTCAAAGAAATACCTCTGCTGCTAAGATTTCAAACAAGGGTGTTTGTGTGTGTGTGTGTGTGTGTGTGTGTGTGTGTGTGTACATGCCTATACACATGGGGACCAGAAAGAGATAAAAGGATTATCCCTTGGAGCTGGATACAAGTGTACAGGACTTCCACCTGTTACATGGCACTAGGATCTAACTCTGATCCTCATGATTGCAGAGCAAGCCCTCCTAACTGCTTAGCCACCTGCCAGCCTCCTACAGTTTATTTATTTTGGCACACAAAGTAGTTCTTTTATCTATCTATCTATCTATCTATCTATCTATCTACCTATCTATCTATCTATCTATCTATCTATTTTGAGGCAGGGTTTCTCTGTGTGGCCCTGGCTGTCCTGGAACTTACTCTGTAGACCAGGCTGGCCTTGAACTCAGAGATCCACCTGCCTCTGCCTCCCAAGTACTAGGATTAAAGGCAGGTGCCACCATGCCTAGCATGTGTTTCTTTTAAGATTTGCTTTTTTTAAAAAAAAATACATGTATATGGAGGAGGTGTGCATATGAGTGCAGGTGCCCACAGAGGCCAGAGGCATCAGGACCCCTGGAACTGGAGTTAAAGACACTTAGGAGCTTGTTTTCATGACCTCTGAGATCCAAACTTTGGTCCTCTGCAAGAACAGCAAGCGCTCTTAAGTGCTGAGCCATTTCTCCAGTCCAGCATATAGTGTTTCTAAGTAACTTGGCCAGCCCTGAAGACCTCTGTGTTTATAGCCTGGGCCTTACCTCACCCATGCTTTAGCAGACCTGAGGCACTGTTTTTGCTGCACAGCATGTGAGTGGCTGTGAAGAGCACTGTTGCTCCAACATATCTCCACTTCAAGACTTCCTACAGTGTTTGTAGGTGACACTCCCACCATGTCAGCAGGTCTCTAAAAGCCAGGATGAGGCCTGGTCTGATGCTGGACTATCACATGGCAATAATGGAAGGATGTAAAAGAAAATGCCTCTATTCATCCGAAACTTCAGAAGGGCTGATGTTTTACTTGGTGGAATGGGGCCAGATCTCTGATCTCACACTGCCTAGGCAGAACTTTCTCCACTGCCATCAGCTGGGAGTCATGTGTCTCTGTGCAGTGTGACAGGGCAAACAGGCCATCATTCCACACACTCTGGAGGCCTGCCTTCCTGAACCCAACAGAATACAGCTCTGTCACAGGGTGGGTGCCATTAATCAGTCTACAAAATAATGTGTTACCACTGTCAGCCAATTCCTTTCTTCCCACCCCTACACCTTGCACAGCAAGGAACCATTTCCGGGCGCCTTCTTCCCTGAGTTGCCTGCAGCCTGCATGTCAGTTAGATCATGAGAAGGTAATAACCAAGTTCAGAATAAACAAAGCCAATGGCCAAAAGGATCCTGTTCTACCTTTTAAAAAAACTCTGTGTGTTTATGATATGTGGGCATGTATCCATGTGCAGTTGTGCGCCTGAGTGCAGACGGTAGAACATGTATGATATGTGGGCATGTATCCATGTGCAGTTGTGCGCCTGAGTGCAGACACATGCATAAAGTGCCGAGTGCCTGGAGATCAGAAGCCTACCACCTCATTTGAGACAGGGTCTCCTTCTTGTTTGCTGTCACCTACACGGGGCTGTTTCCACTGCTCCTCTTGCTGTGTGAACTGGGATTATAGATGGGTGTGCTAACAGCTTTTTATGGGTTCTGCAGATTCGAACTCAGCTCCTCCCGCCTGTGCAGCAAGCACTTTACCAAGCCATTTCCCTACCCCACAGCTTGTTTGGAGACAGGGTCTCATTGTCGGCCATGTTGGCCTTAAACTGGGTATGCAGCTGAGAATGACCCTGAACTTTTTGTTTGTTTGTTTGTTTTTGTTTGTTTGTTTGTTTTTGTTTGTTTGTTTGTTTTGGAGACAGAGTTTCTCTGTGTAGCTCTGGATGTCCTGGAACTCACTCTATAGACAAAGCTGGTCTCACACTCAAGAGATCCACCTGCTTCTGCCTCCCAACTGCTGGGATTAAAGGCGGTGTGCCACCACCATCCAGCAACCCTGGACTTCTTATCCCTGTCTCTACCTCTTTAGTTCTGGGATTACAGGCCTGTACTACCACAACCAACTTACATGGCACTGGGAATCAAACCCAGGAAAACATTAAATCTATACACTGAACTGTATCCCTAGCTCTCTGCTTTCACCTTTCATTCTCCTGCAAGCCTTGTCTGATGATCTCATATGCTTTATTACATCTATTTGACCAGAGCTGGGCTAATGAGGGTAGGCCTCCCCTCTACTTTCTCTGCTTGTACCCACACCAATGACTTTAATCCTAAACAGAGTTTACTCTAGGCTTCCTACTGCTTGGGAAAACAAAAACAAAACAAAACAAAATCTGTCCTCTGCAAACAATCTCTTGGGATGGTCTCACCACTCCTGTCTCCCAGGGCCTGGGCCAAATCCTTCTCAGCACCTGCTCCCTCTCCAGAAACCTGGCCCAGCTAAGGACCCAGAATAGTCCTCACCATGGTCATGTAGGTGGCCTCTGATTGTCCACTTGGTCCTTCCTCCATCGACTCCCTCGTGGTTATTGAGGAATAGACATGTTTCTGGGGTAGGGGGAATACAAAGTTTTTAAGGTCATGCAGGAAAGAAACCACCTACTCCTGTTCACAGGACATCAGCTACCAAAGCCACCAAGTTCAGAGGGTTATGGAGAGTCAGAGAATGGTTACACTGATGATAATCCCAGCATCAGTCTTCCTGAATGAAGTCACAGCCAAGGGCATCAGCCTCAAGAATCAAACTGCCTGCTTCAAAACCAAAGACCTTTGCATCTCTAGGCATTGACTTGGAAGTGGGGGGGGGGCTCATCCTGCAGAATAACTTGTAGGCTGTGGCCAGTTCTTTCTGCTTAGTCACGGCAAGTTGGCACTAATTACCAGTTAACTGTTGTCATCTCGAAGAAGGTTGATGTGCCAAGGACAGCCCTCCCTGAACCTCACAGCTCTGAGATCTGAGGACTGTGATCTACCATTGTGTCACTCTTAGGAAAGTGACACATCCTGAGGCTTCTAAGGATTGAACCAGCTTGAACAAAAATCCTCCTCTTGGGACAAAAGCAACCCAAAACTCGGGAAGTATATCATAGAGAATGTCTAAAAGTTAAAAGGGGGGAAGGAGAAGGAGAGACAGAGGAGGAAAGGAAGGACAAGAACATAGGAGCTCAGGAAAATTAATCTCTCAGCTCCTGTTTATAACTCAATTTCTAAGCACTATGGGGTGGGGGGGGCAGGGGGAGTCCTTCTTGGTCCCCTCTAAAGGTTCCTGAAAGCACCATTTCTAAGCACTATGGGGCGGGGGCAGGGGGAGTCCTTCTTGGTCCCCTCTAAAGGTTCCTGAAAGCACCTCCTCGAAATCACTAACTCCTTAGCTCATGAAGGGAGCAGAGCTTTCTGATTGCAGGTTCAGGGCACTCTCCTATACCTGCCCCCAGGATCTGCTGCCCAGGACTGATCTGGTCCAGGCTACTCTGTCCCAGCCCATTCCTCTGCAGCAGTGATAAAGGCTTTCTGAGTCACTGCTGTGCACACAGCCATGGCCTGTGAGCTGAGAGCTGAGACTAATGCGTCAAATACTGTTCCCAAGCGATGGCCTCCACCCGCCACCTCACAGTGTCCCCCTCAGGTGACAGGGTGTTCTCTCACCTCTGGATTACTCTTCTCTTTGTTCTCCAGGCTCTTCAAGGAAGCTGTAGAACTCACTGAACTGTAAGGCATGAAAAGCACATGGAGTGAACACTGAACCTCACAAGGTACACTGACTCAAGTGTGTCTAGAAAGGACCCTATACTTACTGGGTGTTTTGCATCCAGTGGAACACCCACATCACATAGGATCTTTAAATCACTTTACAGAGAGACTCTTGGGAGGAACTAAATACACACAGAGCAGCTCTTCTGGTAGGAAGTGAGAAGCTGCTCTGGGAATAGTTTAGGCTGAAATATGACTTCACCTTCTCTATTTCCATTCTAACCACTTCTGTCCCAGAGTGGGAGGTAGAGTATAACTGGGCACAGTGGCATCTTGAAGTCCCAGCTACTCCTGAAGCATGGAGCCAGGAGTTCAAAACCAGCCTTGGCAGTATGTAGAGACCCATTTTAAATTTATCATCATCATCATCATCTGTGTGTACCACTCAAGTTACAACAAGTGAGTAGAGGTCAGGGTACAACTTTTAATAATCTATTCTCTCTCTCCACCTTGTTGAGACTCTCTCTCTCTCTCTCTCTATCTCTATGTATATCTGTCTCTCTCCTCTTCTCTGCCTATGCCAGGTGAGCTGACTGGCTAGCTTCCAGGTGATTCTCCTGTCTCCACATCTCATCCCACCATGGGAGAGCTGGGATCACAAATGCAAGCCATAGTATGGGACTGATCATATGAGTTCTAGCAACTGATCTCAAGGCATCTCACTGGCCCAAGAGACCTCATTTTAACAAGAAGGGAGGGGAGGGGAGGGCAGGGGAGGGGAAAATGTGAACAGAGGAGGAAATATAATTTAAATGGCTTAAAAGAGTGAGCCCATGGCATTTGACTTCACTATCTTGTTCTCAGTACTGAGAACAATGAGCAGCACATGTCCAGCAAGACCACATTTCCCAGGTCAGAGCCCTCCCCAGTGGCATTCCCCCCTCCCCTCCAGGCTGTTCACTCTGACTGTTCCCTGATCAGACCCTTCGACTTTGATCTCTGGGCCAATTGTCTCATGCATCTGTCACTAAATGTACCTTTTTTTCTTGTTTTGATTTAAGGCAGATATATAAAAAAAACAGGGTGTGAGCATAAAAATAAACTATGTTTGTTTCAAATGGAAATGTTTTTAGCATATAATTGTAACATTGTCACTGTATAAAAAAAACAGGGTGTGAGCATAAAAATAAACTACATTTGTTTCAAATGGAAATGTTTTTAGCATATAATTGTAACATTGTCACTGTTGAATGAATCAAATACTACAGAATTAGACCATTGAAAGCTGAGGTTTCCAAGTTGTCCCCTTAGCCAATAGGATTCTTATCTTCAATGTTGGACAAGGCCTCAGAACTATCCTTCAGAATTCCTGTCAACGATGGGCTAAGTAAACTCCCAGACAAAACATATCCAGTGTACAGGCTCCTGACGTCGACACGGTATTGCTTCCTTTCTATAAGATCACTGCACATTTCCCCTACAGCCTTCTTGGCTACCATCCTATGCCATCACCTGCTGCAGGCCTGTGTGTAACAGAATATTCAACGGAATGCCATTCATTCAATCATTGCCTTCCTGAGAGATGCTGTACTCACAATGACTTCAGATTTTTATTAGCAGCCAAGTTGTAGTAACTGTATTTATGTGGGAATCTTGGGACAGTGGCATTTCTTTAGAATGAATTTCCCAGAGTATGGACATAAATTGGGAGTGGAACTTAACTGTCTGGCTCTTAGTCTTATGCTCAAATGCATGCCTGATGCAATGACCCTTAGAGGTGCCAAGTTCAACACCAAATCAGACAGCTCTGGGAGTAGTGGCGCACCTGGTCAGACACAGCAGCTTTCTTTACAATCTGCATATCCCAGGGAAAAGTCACTCAGACATCAGTGTTGAGAGGCTAGAGGTGGTGAGACTTGGTGGTAGAAAGTTTGTCTAGAATGTACAAGATCTGGGATTCAATCCTCAGCACAGTAAAAGAGAAAAAAGCCAATATTCCTTGGTCTTTATGGGTCTTTCCCATTGCAGTGACTCCAGCTGGAGCATTAGCTTAAACTTCGAACATGTTCCATTAACATTCTATAAACAGAAGAATACAGAGCTGCTGATAGTCAGGGAGATGCTAACATCTGTATCCTGGCATTCGGGCATTTCTAAGAGTCTGGGAGAGCTAGTGATGAAATTCAGCCCTTGAAGACTTTTCAATCCAGGCATAGTGGTACACACCTGTAATGCCAGCAAATGAGGGCCCGAGACAGGATGGCCATGAGTTCAAAGCCAGCCTGGGCTACATAGGGACTTCCTGTCTCACTCTCCTCCCCAATTCACAGCTTCTCTTAAGCAGTCCACGGGTACTACTACAGTTCTTGCATGAGGTCTGTATCTGAATTATGTTTCACTTAAACCCCCATTTGTGAGGGAGTTGATAATCTCTGTATAACATCAAGGAGAATGAGCATGCTGTAGTACTGTGCTAGCCTTTCTGAAGTCTGGTGAGCAAAGCGGGCAGAGCCAGCTGCAATGACATCAAATGTAGCAATGTAACATCACAGGGCACTGGCACTCTCTTCCACTTTGAATTAGAGATGAGGCTCAAATTAGGGTGGTACCGATACTCTTCTACTTTCATTTAGAAGCCGACTATACACTTGGCCTCCCGACTGAAGGGGTGGGGATGGTCATATACCTCTTATTCCACCGGGTTTTCTTCACAATTAGTATCAACACTGGGAGCAGCAAGAAGGTGGCACAGACAATCCCCACAATTATCACCAGCTGATTCCCATCCAGAATCGACGGCCGATCAGTCTTGGGTGGAGGAGTTGTTAGAATCGACACTTGGGAAAGGGAGAAAGAAAGCTTTGAGAGGGTCTCAGTATTCTAGAAGAGCAGAGAGCCCCAATAACCCTATGCCAAATAGCAGCAGCCAGGTCAGGAAGCAGAGACAGAAGGCCAGGATGCATCCTATACCAGGACACAGGAGCACCATCTCCATTAGACTAAGAGCCAGTCCAACCCTCTTGCTTAGCCCTAAAGTGAGGGTTAAACTTGGTGGGAGAAGCGGCTGCCTTCACCTGTGCTAGATTACCCTTTTACATCAGTAACTCTAACCCTAAAGTGGGGGTTAAACTGGTGGGAGAAGCAGCTGCCTTCACCTGTGCTAGATTACCCTTTTACATCAGTAACTCTATGTTAAAACTTGATTTACCAGATGACTAAATAGAACAGTCATTTTCAAGACCACTGACTGACAGTGTCTCTATGCTATATTATCCAGATTCATAGTCACAATGCTAAATAGGGTGTCCAGGGTGTTCACACTGGTATAATGCCCCTCACTCAGCTCTTCTATTCACTCTAAAGACATATATCAGCATTTCTCTAGCACCGGAGATCTCTAGACATAGAGAGCGCCTACAAAGACAACTGATGGCCAATTCCACCCTTCACTCAGCTCTTCTATTCACTCTAAAGACATATATTAGCATTTCTCTAGCACCAGAGATCTCTAGACATAGAGAGCGCCTACAAAGACAACTGATGGCCAATTCCTGCCTCTGTCTTTGGGGGTAAGGGGGTACAGAGAAAGGGGGTGCTCAGTTCTGTGAAGAGCATGGGAAGAGGCCTTTGGTGACAAGTGTTAAATTTTAATGTGAGTTTTTAAAGAAGTGTTCAGTTGGTTGGGCTGTTGACAACGCAGAGGAAGACCAAGAAGATGTCTTGCAGGGTCTGGTAGACCCACAGGGTGTTTTGAGGAAGTGGAAATAGGTGCAGTTCAAAGGCTGAAGCTGAGGATGTGGTAGCTGGAGAAATAATGGCGTCCAAGTCAGGAAGGAGTGTCATCACCTCAGCAAAGTGGTTGCCTGTTTTTGCTACAGGTCCTGGAGAAGTTAATGAGAGGAGTATGGATAAGTGGTGGGAATGCTCTGACTTGTGATTCAGAAAGAAGGCCCTGGCTAAGGATGACAGCACAGAATGGTTAGAGGCTGAAGGTCTAAAACAGAGAAGAAGACTGTCAGAACAAAGGCCTGGAAGGAAGATGGCTTCAAAACTGGCCGTACAAATGGCACAACTTACTCATCTGCCAGACAAGGAAAGGGAAGAATCAAGGGCCACTCCCTGGCATCCAGTTACATAACTGTATCCATGGTGGCAGTATTCCCCAATGTCAGGAAGATGGGATGAGGGAGAGTCATGCATATTTGAAGAATCTGTAGAAATGTGGTGTGGAGTTGAAATGCATGCATGCATATAATAACTCCAGTTCTCCACACGCACACACACAATCAGCCCTCATCTATGCCCATGTGTCCTCACGCTTGGATTAGACCAACTGCAAAACTGTTATCTGTGTTGAATTATATGAAGACCTTTTTTCTTGCCACTCCCTAAGCAATGTGGGGCAACAATTACTTATATTAGGTACTACCAGTAATCTAGAAGTGATTTTGAGTATACTGGAGGCTATGTGTCTGCAATAAACAAATACTTTTTTAGTATGGCATTTTTATAGAAGGAACTTAAGCACCCACAGATTTTGGTGTTTTCAATGGAGGAGAAAGTCTTGGAACCAAATTTCCTCAGATATCAGGGACACACATGGCTGTTTATAAACATTTGTGCCAATCTAACTGTGCCCAATATAGAGTGGAGGTTAAACCTGGTGTCTAACATCACTGTGCTGAAGAAGGCTGGAGATGGGTGACCAGCATGTCACTGGACCTGGTGGCATGAGCCTGAAGAAAAACAGAACTGTAGGATGAGACCTGAAGTGGGAGAAGGAACTGAGCTGAACATGAATGGAAGAGAAAGTGCAAGCTCAAAGCCATGCCTGGAAATGCCCCAGTGGGAGGGTGGGTGATGCCAGAGCACAGAGCAGGAAGGAGCTCATCTGCCTCAGGATGGTGTGTGGAGATAAGCACAGGGGCAGATGTAGACATGTCTGTGGGTGGGGTGGCCTCAGAGGAGGTGAGCCCCCCTCCCCACTTTGATGTTTTTGTTTGTTTGTTTTTCCCATGTGACAAAGGAGCCCACACAGGGATGAAGAAACTTCTTGAAGATGTCTCTGGCCTGAGACACTGAGGCACTTCCCTTTCTAGTCCTCTCCCCCCACCCTAAGCCAACCACCAGCAGCTACTTCAGGCCCCAGTGAGGGGCGAAGTCCACAGGCCACATCCTTCACCTCGAACAACCTGCCGCAGACAGCACAATTAAGTCTCTATTATCCTCGGTGCAAAGTTTTTGTCAGAAACCCCTGTTTCTTATTCTGGAACCTTCCCATTTTCTCTCTGTTGCTTGCTGTCTTTCACAGTTTAGGATTAGCTTCCCTTACTAGGATGTATGACTCCCTCAAAGTCAAGCAAACATGACTCGGATCTCCACTCCACTCCTCCTCTGAGCTCTGGCCACAAGTGGGGTTCGGAGAGGTTTGGTGTTCGCCACATTAGTGCCCTTTTCCATGCCTAACACCAGAGAGGTGAGCCCAGGCATCTGGTGAACTGAGTTGATGAAGGAATCACTCTCAGGGTTGTGCAAGTCCAAGGCCAGGCCCTGAGAGCCATGCCTCCTTCCACTGGGCATGCCTGTAGCCTCCCTAGCTCACTCCAGACATAGCCCTTGTCATGCATAGCCCCTCAACCCTCTCCACCCAAATATTAGATACTTTGAGATTCTTCCTGGATCACATGCAGCACAATAGTTTTCCTAGACTCCAGTTTCCCCAGGTAGATGTGGCAGGTGTAGACTCCTTGGTCAGACTCCTTCACTGTTTGAAGCATGATAGAGCCATCATTGTGTGAGATGTCACCAATCGGGTTTACACGGTTTTGGAAGCGGCCCTGGTTCTGGAAGTAGCCACTAGGCATGTTGAAGTCATGGCGCCAGACAACCTCCTCCTACAAGGAAAGGTCAAAGCATGAGGCTTGGAGGACTACAGGGCGTGTGCTGGGGAGACCTCAGAGCTGACAAGGCCCTGCCATGTGAGGGCAGGGAGGGTGTTACATAACACAAAGTCATGTTCCCATTCACATGTATAAACACATGTGTACTAGTGAGGACGACACCAAACCACAAACAACTGTCCCATCAGAAAAAGTGGTTTAAAGGAGGTTAGTAGCTCTGGCCTGTGAACCTAGCTACGCAGGAGGCTGAGGCCAGAGGATAGAAAGTGCAAGTGAGTAATATGGCCAGACTCTGTCTCTGAAGAAGGAGTAAAAAGAGGGAAAGGGTTACAATTCTGCAGCAGAGTGCTTGCCTAGTATACATGAAATCCTGAATTTAATACCCAGCACCAGAGCTAAAGACAAGAGAGAGCTGGAGACAGACAGACAGACAGACAGACACACACACAGACAGAAAAAGAGAGACAGAGACACACATACAGAGACAGATGAAGACAGAGAGAAACAGAGAGAGAGAGAGAGAGAGAGAGAGAGAGAGCTATTGTCTCTGGCACTTCAGTTGGATTTCCAACAGGCAGATAAAGTGGGTCTAAAATTAACTGTTGTCCCCAAACTTGCTTTTTTTCAGTCCATCCTGTTTCAGTAAATGGCAATGTCTTCTTTCAGATGTTCGGGCTAAAGACCTTAGAATCATCTTTAATTAAGCAACTTGTATAAAGTTCGCCAGAAAATCCTGGTCCCTCTGCCTTCAAAACACATCTCGGACCACCCTTCTCAGCTCCCTGGCTGCTGTCACACCAGCCCAGGCTATACCTCATCTCTTCCAGAAGCATCTCTCCTAAAGGGCTTCCTCACCTGTCTTCCTGCTCACCTTTCCCCACAGTCTACCCTCAGTGAATGAGCTTTTAAAAACCTAAGGGGGTGGGGGGACCAACAAAAACAAAAACAAACCCAAAAACCTAAGACCCAGCAAGTCCTTCCTCTGCTCTAAACCTCCCCTGGCCCCTCACTTCTCCTCTAGGCCCTATATGATCTGCCCTGGTCTCTTTTCCCTCTCTCACACCCATTTCCAATTCCTTCACTAGATTTAGTTACACAGGCACCCAGCTACCTCCTGAAGGCTGGTCTCAGGCTACTGCTCTCGATACTCCTGCAACTGGAACCTCTGTTTGTCTCCCCTCATTTTCTTCAGACCACTATCTTGATGAGGCTTGCCTGACATCTACACAAAATAACAACCACAGAACTCTGCTTAAGGTTCCTCATGGCTCTTTATTTTTGTTGCTTTAGAGAGTCAGTTAGTCATTGTCCCACTGTGAATCCCCCTCCCTTACTGTTACTGTCCCATCAAGACAGGGTCTTTATTTTGATTTTGGTTTTTTGGTTTTGGGTTTTTTTGTTTGTTTTTTGAAACAGGGTTTCTCTGTGAATCCCTGGCTGTCCTGGAACTCCCTCTGTAGACCGGGCTGACCTTGACCTCACAGAGATCCGCCTGCCTCTGCCTCCCAAGTGCTGGGATTAAAGGCATGTACCACCACCACCACCAGGGCCTGACAAGGTCTTTAAATGAATGAATGTTGAAATGTTTTACAAAGGCCTGTGATGGTGGTCATGGGAGAGGTAAGGATTGAAACCATGGCCTTATATGCACAAGGTAAGTGTTCTTTCTACCAATAAGCTACATCCCTAGATCTTTTTTCCAAAAAGTAAGAAAAGCCTTTGAGTGAAGGTGATGGGTTATAGACGGGAACACAAATGGAGAGACTTGGTCCCAGCTCTTCTTTCTGTTGTGAATTATTTGATGGATGGTATAGAAATGCATGACAATGTGGCCTGGAGAGATGGATTCAGAGTTGAGGGTTGGGCTGATCCAGGGCTTTCCCTGAGGCCTTGATGTGCGGAGAAGGAACACAGCTCCTTCTCTAAAACCAAGAACATGCTTGGCAGAGCCTGGAATAGCCTAAGGCCAGGGCATTGGGGGAGCTGTGGCTTCAGATCCTGAAAACCCAACTCTTCCCACTCTAAGGAGCTGTAGTTACCAGCCCCGAAGCTGATGTGTGCTCAGTCTGTAATGCCTTTGAGACACCCTGTGTCCCCTTATGCAACATTTCCTGATTAGCTTCCTGCTGACTCTGCCCCATTGTAGGATGGTTTCTGATGATTCTGTCCCATTTCTGCCCTAAAAATACTGTATAAGGTGCTGTACCTCCTAATAAACTTGCTTTTCTGAGCCACGAGCTTGTGCAAGCCATCCTAATTCCAAACTTTTCTACCCTTTTCTTTACCTTCATCTCAAGGTCACCTCTCCCTTAGGAGCTTGCCAATAAAGAACTATCTGCTGATCCAGTCAGCTCAGTTGTTAATAGTACTTGTTCTTACAGAAGACCCAGGTTCAGTTCCTGGCACCCACACAACGGCTCACAACCATCAGTTCCAGAGAATCAGACACCACCTCCCCCACTTTATGGACGTCAGGCACGCACATGGTGCATGTGCGTATGTGAAAGAAAAACACTCACACACAGAAAATAAAGCAAGTAAATAAATAAAAACCTAGATGCATGACAAGCTCTTAGGAGTGAACTTGGGGCTACATATCATCCCCCACCCTCTACCATGATGCCACCCTTTCTGATGTCCTCAGATAGCATCCAAGAATCAGGTAAGTATGAGTGACTTGGAGAGATGACCTAGAATATATTTTAATTTTAAAAACTGAAATCATCTATAAAACTTTGCACTATAACTTCTATCAATAAGTCAACTAAGATGTTACTCATAACACATTTTTATTCCATTTATTTACTAAGGGGCAGTTGCATGGTGTAAGAGCAAAAACTCAGAGGACAGCCTGTAGAAATAACTCTGTTCTCTCCTTCTGTCGTACAGGACCCAGGGGCTGAACTCACGTCATCAAGTTTGGTAGCAAGCAAGGGCCATCTCACCAGTCCCCAGTACACATTTTAACCCCTAAATATATCACCGTGTCATTGTTGAGATCTGTTAGTCCAATGAACTAACTTGCTACTTATTGCTTTAGAGTTCCTATGAATTATCCTTCACTCTGGCTCCCAAAGGCCTACCAATCCCAAGCCCTGGGAATTTTATAAAGATGAAAAAAAAAAAAAAGTTAGTAATGGAGCACCAGGCAAAGTTTACAGAAATAGCATACACTAGGGTACGAATGTAATTGTATTCTTATGCCTAGCCCATTGCTTGCCAGGTTAGGACACACACACACACACACACACACGCACACGCACACGCACACGCACATGCACTCACCCTCTGACAGGGATTACAATGAAGAGGAGGTAAAAGGACTCTCAAATGAAGCCACCACATCGCATACAAAGTGCTTCCCACGTACCATTGCACACCAGGGTCTTAGAAACCTGAACATTTAGGTTTCTAAGAAGAACACCTCTTCTTCCCTCTCCTCCTTCCCCTTTCCCTCCCACATGTCCTCCTCCTCCTCCTCTTCACCTTCCTCATCTTTCTCCCCTCCCTCCCCCTTCCCTCTCTCCTCTTCTTATCCCCCCCCCTTCCATCTTCTCCTCCCTCACACCAAGAAGCCAAACTTGTCCAGACAAGTAGCTAAAGCAGAAGGCCATGTCAGACAGACTCCTAGGCCTGGGCCTCTGCAATGTCACCCCTCCACAGGCCCACCCCAGGGTACCTGACATCTGATTCTCCCCTCCCTGTCCTCCCGTGCCTCTTGCCCTCCCCTGCCTCCTGCCCTCGGTGTCTCTACAGTGAGCCCCCACTCCCACCCCACCTTACCTTGGCATGCTTTCCGGAAGAAAACATCCAGTCCACCTTGGTCACATGTTTCTTTTCTGTGCTCTGGAAGAAACATCCCATCTCAGCTGAACTGCCTACACGGACTGTGAGCTCTGGGAATGAAGTGATAAACTGAGTCAGACTTAATCAAACAGAGTTTCTAGACAATAAAGGCTGGGTAAGAATGCTTACTCAGCAAGCCAAAGAACCTGAGTTCAAATCTAACACCCATGTAAAAAGCCAAACACATCGCCTTGGAATCCCAGCATTTGGGAGCAGAGACAGGTGAACCTGAGAGCTCTCTGGTCAGCCATCCTAGCCAAAATGGAGCTTCCAATTTAGTGTGAGACTCTGTCTCTACAAAACGGTAGAGAGAAATGAGGGAAGACAAATACAACTGCACCCTGTGTCTATGAAACACACACACACACACACCACAAAAATAAATAATAAAGTCTAGCTAAATATCCTCGAAAAATGTCACTGTCACACCAAACATGTGGACAAAAATATTCAAGAGCCTCTTCTCTCAATGTGGCATAACGTCCTGGCATAAGAGAATGAGCTCACTACCCACTGACGCCAAGTCTGAAGTTCTTGTTTCTACACTGCAGTAAACTCTTTCTGCTCGCTTGCCTTTAACTCCTTTATCTTTCCCCTTTTCCAGAATTTCTCTCACATTTGAAGTACAGAAAGTCTCAAGGCTCTTGCTTTCTGTTCATAGATACAGAGACCCACATGGGCACAGCATAAATAGTGGAAAGTCAGAAAACTCATTGTCATATTTAACTTGCTGGTTCTTCTAACTGGGGGTGGGGGGACTGTCTTCAAATTCTTTTACTCATTTTACAAGTTATTTTAGGACTTGCTTGGGATATAGTTCTGGCTTCAACACAGGTCATGGGACTCCTTGCAAACTCAGCCAAGGAAGTAGCTTTCCCCTTGACTGTTTCCCTTCTCTGTTTCAATCCTGCCCTCTCCAGAACCCTCCCCCATCTGACACACACCCCCTCTTCCAGCTCTCTGGGTCCTCCACCTTGGAGGAGCTTCCTTCTGCTGGCTTGGGCAGGCAGCTGACCCCACCATATTCTCTCTGAGTAAGTCATTCTAAGAGGGCCCTGAAAAGAAAGCATGTAGAAAAATACTGCTAACTTATCCACACTGCCCTCCACAAAGCAGCCAAGAAGTCAGTTAAGAAAGTAAAGGTGGGATGGTGCACAGAGAGGCAGAAGCCTAAGTCTCAAGAAGACATGGAGGCACAAGCTTAAACCTTAAGTAGACAGGGAGGGTTCTTTCAAAAGAATGCTAAGCAAAGGTCCCGAGCAAAGAAACACAGTGCATAAGCAGACCATTCATCCAAGTTGCCTCCCTGGGAGAACATGATTCTTTCAAAAGAATGTTAAGCAAAGGTCCCGAGCAAAGAAACGCAGTGCATAAGCAGACCATTCATCCAAGTTGCCTCCCTGGGAGAACATGAACTTCCTGTCCAGTAAGAGAACTACACAGTGGGAAGAAAGCAAACTTAAACTCAATGGAGAGATGACTTCTGCAGGCAGTAAAAATCCACTGGGAAGGGCATCAGTAGGGAAGGAAATGCCCCATCACATCAGCCTGTTAAGAACTGAACACTAGCTTTTAAGTGAATAATAACAACCGAACATTCTGAGACCCTTTAATGCACTGAGCATGTGCCAGACACCTTATAGGTAGCATAGCGATTAGTCATTGTAACATGCATGCTCAGTCCCTGCTCTTTAAGCCCATCCAGTGCCTCATCTATGTTGAGGACACACTCGATCATAGGACTATATTTTCAGGTGAAATCACTATAATGTTTTTAGGTTCTTAGTGTATTGCTCTCCATTTTACACAAACAGAAAGAATAGCAAATGGGGTTCAGAAACCCACAGGGGCAGAAAAGAGTGAGAAGTCCAAGTGAGAACAAATCCCAGGCTTCCTGGTGTACTGTGCCTATCACATCATGTGAGAAGAAAGAGACCTGGAGCTAGAGCAAAAGGATAGGAAGCAGTGTTAGTTTCACCTAAAATATTTAAGAACTATGGAAAATGGAAGTAGTGGGATTGCAGGATTATAAGGCGGAGGGTCCACTTGGCAATGAAAAGTCACAGGTGACTATAAACATGGAGTTTCCACATGAACAGAGACAACCTCTATAAACAAGTGCACCACGGTCCACCCAGCAAGAAGGCAAAACATGAGGGCTTAGATCTGCTCCTGCTTTGGTTGGAAGGGGAAATAAAGACGGGTTGCCTCTGACCATCCCTAATGTGATTCTAGCTGGTTTCCCTCGCTACAGCTCTGGCCATTGGCCCATGTTGGTTCCTTCTTTGTACCCACGAAACCAGAAAGGGCAGCCTTTTTTGTGGGCTGCACTTTGAGGAGGGTTTAGGAATGCCAGAAGAGAATGAGGGTAGAACAGCGACTCACAAGGAGAATCTTGGGGGAAAGCAAACATCAGACTTCCTCCCTTCTCCTGGAGGACCACAGCTTTGGAATTATTCAGAAAAAAAAAAAAAGATGCAGGGAAATGAGGAGCAGTACCAGAGGCCACTCCCTAATGACTCCACACTCACAAATTGGATTCACAAGAGGAATACTAGTTCAAGACTATCGTCCATTACACTAATGTGTATTGATTGCCTATACGCTGCCAAGTACTGCACCAAAGGCTTGTCAGAGGCGAAGAACCTAAAACCAGACAAGCAGGGAAGATACACTGCATGGGTGTGACCAGCATCTCGATAGGAAAAGGCAAACTTGGCGGGGGGGAAGGGTGCTTTTGTTCAGTAAGTAGCTAAGGACTGAAGCTAGTGGGGAGAATAGAGGGCCTTGATCATGACCTTCTACTAGCAGCCAAGCAGCCCTGAGCCATGCCCATCAAAGATTCATCTTCATTACTTTTTAATTAAGAGCATGTAGAGTGGGGATGGTACATGCATGTGAGTGCAGGTGCCCAAAGAAGCCGGAAGAGGAGTTGGATCCCCTAGAGCAAGAGTTACAGGCCATTGTAAGCTGGGTACCAAACTCCAGTCCTCTGCAAGAACAGTATGTGCTCTCAACAGCTGAACCATCTCTCCAACCCCTACCCCACACTCTTGTTTTTAATGGAAAGAAATATATTTCATGCAATATATGTTGATCATGTTTTTCCTCTCCCCCAATTCCTCTCAGATCTTCCCCACCTCTCTACAACCCAACTTTATGTTCTTTTTTCTCTCCATCTCTTAAAAAAAAAACAGACAACAACAAAAATAATAAACACCACACACACAAAACAAACCCCAGCCGGGTGGGGTGGTGCACACCTGTAATCCCAGCACGCAGGAGGCAGAGGCAGGTGGATCTCGGCCAGCCTGATTCACAAAGTGAATTCCAGGACAGCCAGGGCTATTATACAAAGAAACCCTGTCTTGACACCAAACAAACAACACACAAAAATGAAAATCAAAACAAACAAGCAGAAGATTGTTGCCCTCTGGCCCCTCTTTGAGTACGTGACCCCATACCTTTAGGCTTCTCTGGCAGCACGCGCAGTACCACGAACTTTTTAAAGACTACACTCTCGTTTTTGAGGCGGATTTCACAGGTGTAGGTTCCCTGGTCTGCTTCTTGCACATTTTGGAGCAGGAGAGAACCGTCATTTCGTAAGATGTCCCCCACCAAATGCGAACGGTTCTGGAAGCGCCCCGTAGGCACACTGAGGTTGGAGTAATAGTATAGCACGTATTCACTCTGAGAGTAATAAACAGGAGGAAGTCAACAGAGGAGCCAGACCTGGGAGTCTGGATTGAAAAGACCATTATGTGGAGACAGTGAATTTATCACCATAATAGTGACCAAAAAGCACTCAGCTAATAATGTTATTAATATTCATAATGATAATGTAGCCAGCAACTGTCTAGCTTGTACAAGGTTCCATGACTAATTTTCTATACAGACAAATGAAACACAGAATCTGTATTTTCATTTCTTACAACATTGCCAGCAACTGTCTAGCTTGTACAAGGTTCCATGACTATACAGACAAATGAAACACAGAATCTGTATTTTCATTTCTTACAACATAAGGAAAAATGCAACAGCTTCTGTGATAATCACTCTAGGATTAGAACTCATAACTTTTTAAAACCATTTCCTGTCTTACGACAGGGCAGGTGAGATGCCATTCAAACATATGACCTAATCCCTTGGTATTATGGGCTGGTGTTGCCAGTAAGGCTGCCACTCCTCTCTGCTCTGCCCTCCTCCAGCCAGCAATATCATGACACAAAGGGAGTTGTCAGTAGGAATGGTTACAGGCTGGGAGGGAGAGCCCTGTCGAGTTCTTAAGTCTACCTCCACCAGAGCTCTGCTTCTTTTATAACAGCAAACAGAAGTATGATTTTGGGTGAAAGTGGCAGGGATAGAGAATACACTCTGAGCTACAAAAGCAGCCATTGATTTCCAACACTGGAATTTCACTGCTAACAGCAAACTACTTGGGTCATGTTTCACAGACAATCCTGACACTCACACATCTCTGTGGACTTTGTGACAGAAGTTGAAGACAGTTTCCCATTTAGAGCTCATGAGAGCAAACCCCCTGCCTGGGTACTAATACCAATACTTTAAGAAAAAGCAAAGAAACAACGCATGGTCCCCAGAGAAGAGGACTGCTCAAAGAATCTGTCCCCGACACAGAAACATGCCTACACCATCATTCTTATGCCCAGCTCATCTGTCTTGACTACAGGAATTGCCTCTCATGTCCATCTTTATCTTTAGTACTACAATGGAAGCAAACTGAGAGAACTCCGTGTACGTCTCCCATTGGTCCTGAACCAGTTCAGCACTGGTACCATTATGGTCCTGTTTCCTCTTCACAGTGGGCGTGGCTCTAATCAAGCAAGGTTGCCCTGCTGATGATACACAGCCAAATAGCTAAGCTAAGCGGAGGCCTAGTGATGACTCCTTCCAAAGCTCTTGCAATCCTACCCTGAAGACTCAATGACTGATTCTCCCATGCCTAGCCCAATCCTGATACCATTAGCCAGAGGCTTGACCATACAGTCAGGCCACCTTCTTACCTCAGCATGTTCCCCTTTTGAGAGTATCCAGTCTACTTTAACCACATGTTTCTCTTCTGGGCTGTGGACAACACATCCCATGAAAGCTGAATCACCCACGTGCACTCTCAGCTCAGGGGAGGAGACAACCCTGTCAGTCAGGCCCTGAGAATCACCTACAGGGGTTAAAGAAAGAAGACATCATTTAGACAAGTAACCTCAACAAGAAAACTCAGTATCTATCTGTAGATACTATCCATTTCCCCTCCATCCACGATCCAGCATGGTCTAAGCACTTAGACCTCACTTAAACCAGCATGGCAATGGAGAATGGTCCTCTGTTTATCTATAGGACTCAAATCTGAAGAATTCTGCAACCTTCAAACCACAGGAAGAGCTCACCGCTCCCCTTGGCCTCACTAGTCCCTTCCCCTTTTCTAGAATTCCTCCACCCTGTCTTTCCAATGAAAGGCAATCCTGAGATCCACATCCAATTACTCACATCTCCTAGCTCTGCATACAGTGTTCCTAACGTTAAATTAAAAAGGAAGTGGGCTCATCCTCGCTCGCTTGCTCGTGCGCTTGTGGGTTCCCTATCTGAATGATCCACTCACTAGCTGTTTTGTTTTCTTCCTCTTTTCCTTTTATTTAATCCCTTCACGAAAAGCTTATCTCTGCATCCGCTGGCTGAGTCTTTCTACAGTTAAGTAGGCCAGAGTGGAGCACAACTTTCTCTTTGAGTTTCCTTTGTGCTTGCCCTCCCTGGCCTCATTTCTCCAGCGTCACTGTCAACCCTGCCCTTTCAAAGGCATTTGAAGCATGGGTTCCCTTCTTCCCTCATCTGCTTGTCACTCATGGAATTTCACCAAAAGGGAAAACCATGGCAAGGACATTTCTGTTTTCACAAGATATCCTCTGGCATAAAGACAACAAAATCAAGAGACAAATTTAGATGCTGCCCAGTTCGTATCGAAGAAGAGCCAAGTGAGCACATATGGGAATGACAGGAAAGGTGCCAGCCTTTTCATCCAAGCTGTCTCCCCTGAGAGAAGAGAGAACTTCCTGCCCAACAGCAGGCTGGCACAGTAGGAGGATGGAAAAGAACATACAAACTCTCAACCCTTTGGATGGAGATATTTTCAAAGAAATCATATTAGCTCCAGCAACTACTGGAATTTTCCTGTGAGGAAGAGTGTGTGTGTGCACGCGCGCACATGCGTGCATGTGGTGCGTGTGTAGTCTATGTCACCTGGAATTGAGCAAAGGCACCCTTTTGCTTATTTTGTTGAGTCAAGATTTGTTCACTGTCTATAGCTCAAAATAGTAAAGAGGGCCAGTGAGATGCCACCAAGCTGGATGACCTCAGTTCAGTCCCCCAGACCCGCACAGTGCAAGAGCGAATTCCTGCAAGTTGACCTCTGATCTCCATACTCGCACCCCCACTTAAATAATTAAAATAATGAATAATAATAAAGAGTTAGGCATGAAAATGCATGTCTGTGATCCCAACACTTGGCACCCCCACTTAAATAATTAAAATAATGAATAATAATAATAAAGAGTTAGGCATGAAAATGCATGTCTGTGATCCCAACACTCAAGAGGCAGAGAAGAGAAGATAAAGCGTTCAAATCCCAAAGAACCCCTGGACATAAGGCTAGCTGTGGTGCTTATTTAACATGCATTTAACATACCAAAGCACACACTGACCACCAGGCTCTCTCAGCATTGCAAACACTTGTCACAGAGTCCTCTCCTCTCAGCACTTCTCTCACACACACCCTCCCCACCCTAAGCCTCTCCAGCCCCCGGGCTTCCCCTACCTTCCCTGATTCCCAGGCATTTTTTGTCTTCTTTGCTCTCTTGGCTTCTTGGTTCTTCTCTCTTTTGGTTCCTTTCTTGGTCCTCTGCTCTTGGCTCCTGACCCCCTCTCTTGCCTCTCTGTTCTCTTCCTCTCTCACTCTCCCTCCCCACCTGTCCTCTCACAGTCTGATCTATTCTGCCAGCCATGTTCAGTCTGGGCTCTTCCAGATGCTTCTGGCAGTTCCCTCCCTCACATCTACAATAAAAGCCTTCTCTTCAGCCATACCTAGGAGTAGTCATGTCCTCATTTTCATTCACATAGAAAGACCCTGGCTACAAATTAAATTAGTAAATAAGATGGCAAAGCACCACATCAATTTCTTCTTCCCACAGACCTATTTCCATGGAATAAGGAACAAGATACAGGCAGAAAAGAGAAAGAGAAAAGAAGGAAGTGAAGATGAGCAGCAGGAGTTGCCCTGGGGCAGGGGAAAGTCTGAACAGGAGATTCCCACCCAGTCTACTGAGGCCAAAGCAGACTTCCCAAAAGGAAGTAAAAGTCAAGGGAAGCTTGTGGAATCCGGAAGGCTTGAGCAAGTTTGTTGGGGTGAGATGCTACCGAAGGGGGTAAAAATGGAAGGAACAGAGAGTTACAGGCAAAGAAAACAACAACAATTGGGAAAGAGTTCCCTATGTTTAGAAACCACAAAAGCATCTGCCTGGCTGAGGCAGAGACAAATAACAGGCCCCCTCCATTTCTCCTTGGTAATTTTCCTTCGATATCTGAGACTGACTAGCGGTAATTGACAGACATCAGTGTAAACTGTAGGAATGCCATGGAGAAACTTCCTTTCACACAAGTATGTTCTGGAACACCCAGGAACTACCCAAAGACATCCTGTGCCCAACAGACACAGAAGGCAAGAAGAATCAACTACCTGCTTCTAAAACAGCAGTTTCAAAGAACCAAGAAGTTCCAGCCCAGTGTTTCCACATCGCACAAATCAAAGGGAATTAAACAAAAATAAAAATTGGCTTTTTAAAAAAATGTATGAGACTAGGGCTCATTGGGTAAAGGCACTTGCTACCAAGCCTGGAATTGAACTCAGGAAACCACATGGAGGAAAGGAAGGATCAACTTCTGCAAGTTGTCTCTGACAGCCTTATGTCCTTTCCCACAACACAAAATAAATAAATAAATATAAAAAAAAATTTCAGGTATGAGACAAACAAGCACTCAGATATTGCCCCCAGTCTCTTGCTTCTACTTACCCAGAATCACTGGAATCACAATCAGTTTCAGGAGGCGAAGCATACTGCTTTCAAGTTTCTGATCTTAAGATAAAAGGAAAACCTGAAAATTATGTAGAGAGGACATTGTTAACTGAACAAACCAACGGTGAGCACCGGTGTGGGCCAGCGCCACTGTGGGCCGGGTTGTGTCTGAGGCACTGGCACAGCACTGAACACAGGAGAGGAAGCTCCAGCACAACTACACCTTACATACAGCAGGGAAAGGAGGGAAGGGCAAGAGTGTGCATGAACAAGACAGCATCTAGATGCTGAGGAGGGAGATGGCAAAACAAACCCAAGTGATGGCTGGAGAGACACTTGGGGTCTGCTTCAGGTTGGCCACAATGGAAGGTCCATGAAAGTCGCTTTTCCAAACAAAAAAGGGCAAATGAGTCCCTACGGTGCCCTTAAGACAACCATCCCAGATATTCCACAGCCTGGACGCTTCACAT